GGTTTGCATCATAGCACACTGCCATTCCAATCTGTCATACCAGTAAATATTGCTGTCAGTAGACTATTAGCTCCTTGTAAAATACTTAACACTGCTGGCAGAAGACTAGATACTACTAAAAATTCTAGAAACTGTTTAAAAATAAAGTCATCATGAAGTCCTTGTAGATTATTTAATACTGCTGGAAGAAGACTAGATATTACTAAAAATTCTAGAAATTGTTTAAATACTGTGGTTAATGCTTGCAGAACGTTAGGTTCTGCTGTCAGAAGACTAAAAACTGCTTTTTGAATAGTGGTTAGTACTAGTAGAAGACGAAGAAGTGCATGAAAACTCTAGAAACTGCTTCCGGAACAGTAAATATTCTTGTCAGAAGACTATAAAATCCTTGTAGACTACTTCACACCGTTGGCAGAAGACTAGATACTATTAAAAATTTTAAAAACTGTGGATGGTATTTGCAGAATATTAGGTTCTCTTCTTAGAAAATCATGCACTTCTTCTTGACTGGTGGATTCTGCTGGCAGAAGAAGTTTTTCTATCAGAAGACCAAAAACTCCTTCCTGAATAGTAGTTTTTGCTGGTGAAACACGAAAAGTGCTTAAAAGTTTTAGAAACTGTTTAAAAATTGTGGATAATGTTTGCAGAACATTAAGTTCTTCTGTCAGAAGATCTAAAACTCCTATAATATAATATAAACTATAAACTATATGTGTACAGGTTGAAAGGAATCCTAATTTAATAATTTTCCTACATCTTGTGGCGTAGGATAGATGTCAGTGCAATCGTCTGGCTAACGGGAGAACTGGGTTCGATTCGCGGCGCTGCTAATTTTTCCTTTCTATTATTCCTGTCATTAACGTGTAAAAGGTATCCCTTCTTTCCTTTATATGTTATAATATTAATGTCTTATAATAATAACTCCTATCCTGCTGATAAAAGACGAAAAAGTGCTTAATAACTCTATTAATAACTCTGCTAAAAACTGCTTTCAGAACAGTAAATATTGCTATCGGAAGACTATGGCTGAATACTAGATACTACTAAAAATACTAGAAACTGTGTATAATGCTTGGAGACTATTAGACTCTGCTGTCAGAAGACTAAAAACTGCTTTTTGAATAGTTGATACTGCTGATAGAAGACTAGATAGTGCATAAAATCTTTAGAAACTGCTTCCAAAACAGTAAATATTACTATCAGAAGACCATAAACTTTGTGCAAAATATTTTATATTGCTGGCAGAAGACTAGATGCTACTAAAAATACTAAAAACTGTTTAAAAAATGTGGATAGTGCTTACAGAACATTAGATTCTGCTGTCAGAAGACTAAAATCTACATTCTGAATAGTGGATACTGCTGATAGAAGATTAGATAGTGCATAAAAACGTTAGAAATTGCTTTCAGAACAGTAAATATTGTCAAAAGACTATAAACTCCTTGCAGAATACTTAACATTGCTGGCAGAAGACTAGATACTAAAAATCTTTGAAACTATTTAAAAACTGTGAATAGTGCTTGTACAACATTAGGTTTTGTTATTAGAAGACAAAAAATTGCTTCCTGTATAGTGGATTCCTTTGGTAGAACACGAAAAAGTGCTTAACAATTCTAGAAATTGCTTCCTGAACAGTAAATATTGCTATCAGAAGACTATAAGCTCCTTGCAGAATACTAAACACTGCTGGCAGACGACTAGATACTACTAAAAATACTAGAAACTATTTAAAAACTGTGAATAGTGCTTGTACAACATTAGGTTTTGTTATTAGAAGACAAAAAATTGCTTCCTGTATAGTGGATTCCTTTGGTAGAACACGAAAAAGTGCTTAACAATTCTAGAAATTGCTTCCTGAACAGTAAATATTGCTATCAGAAGACTATAAGCTCCTTGCAAAATATTTAACACTGCTGTTTAAAAACTGTGGATAGTGCTAAATCCGAATGATTCTAGTTCTAGATACAGCGTTAGTTCTAGTTTTACACTTGCACTGTCACTAGAACTAACACTAGATCTAGAATTAGAAACATTCGGGTTCGTCTCATAAGACGGCTAAAGACGAATAATTCTAGTTTTTGATCTAGTGTTAGTTCTAGTTTTACACTAGCACGGTTACTATGTAGAATTAGCACTATAACTAGAACTAGATTTATTTGGGTTTAGCCGTCTTTAGAGACGTGCGGGTATTCTAGTTCTAGTTCTAGGTATTGTGTTAGTTCTAGTTTTACACTTGCACTGTCACTAAAACTAACACTAGACCTAGAACTAGAAACATTCGGGTTTAGCAGTGCGTCTCAGAAGACGGCTAAAGCCGAATGATTCTAGTTCTTGCTCTGGTGTTAGTTCTACTTTTAATTCAATAAAAATACTCAACAATCTAGTGCTGCAATTAAATCTAGAATTAACACTGTTACTATGTAGAACTAACACTATACCTAAAACTAGATTCATTTGGGTTTAGCCGGACGTCTCTAAAGACGGCTAAACCCGAATGATTTTAGTTCTAGATATAGTGTTAGTTCTAGTTTTACACTTGTACTGTCACTAGAACTAACACTAGACCTAGAACTAGAAACATTCGGGTTTAGCCGTACGTCTCATAAGACGGCTAAACCCGAATGATTCTAGTTCTAGATATAGTGTTAGTTCATTTGGTTTTAGCCGTCTTATGAGACGAACGGCTAAACCCGAATGATTCTAGTTCTTGGTCTAGTGTTAGTTCTAGTTTTACACTAGCACTGTTACTATGTAGAACTAACACTATATATAGAACTAGATTCATTTGGGTTTAGCCGCACGTCTCTAAAGACGGCTAAACCCAAATGATTCTAGTTCTAGGTATAGTGTTGGTTCTAGTGATAACATTTAATAGTGTTTTGGAATCTTTCCAAGTAGATAATAGTTTCTCCCAGCAGTATTTAGTTTTCTCCAATCAGGTCGTAATCTTTTCTAGTAGTATATAGCACTTTGAAAGCAGTAAGTAGTCTTATGGAAGCAGTATTATAATCTCTAGTATTTTGGAGATCATATTTCTTCGTTCCAAGTAGTTATTAGTCTTTTCCAGCAGTATCATTGCAAGTATGCAACCAATATCACACTATTAGTATTGTAATACGCGATTTACGTATGATGCGTATTGCACTGTGATATTGGTTGCATACTTCCAATGATTGATAACTGTCAAATCAAATTGATTATTATTAATTAATTAATTAATTTTTGTTTATATTTCAGCAAACAGTTGGATATTCCCCAGACTCGTCGAGATCAACTCGAAACGCGATTAAACGAAAAGATTCTTTGGCAAGTTCGATCGGGGCGACATCCGTTCGTCGATTAATAGCCGTCGTTCGAAACACAAGCAGCAAATTAGGCCCGGTTTACACCCGACGAGTTTTAATAAAAAACCTAATCATATTTTGTTTATCACACGCGATCCTAACATGGACATTCCTACCATTCTTAGCACTACAATCAAGCGTCTCAATTTGGATCATCCCCTTCGAAAAAAACAACTTCCCCATCAGCATTAATTCGGGCGCATTCCTCTTAATGTTTTTAAACATCCTCGGCGCGATTTCCTCGATAATCGCGCCGTTTTTTTTAAGAAAATTCGGAAATAATTCGATTTTATTTATATCGTATTTAATTTTAGTTCTATTTTACGGGTTTCATATTTACCCGGTTCTTTATTTAATAATCCCCGTTTATTTGTTGTTCGGATTGAGTTTGGGTCCGCTGTTTATTTCGAAAGCTTCGTTTATTATGACGATTTCGAGCCGGTTGAGTCAAATTCATTCGGAGGATGACGAGGAGTCGCAATTTTTACGAAAAACTTGTTTGGTTCGGAGAGTTTCGAGAAGTTTTCAGTTTTCGCACGATTTGGGGTTTATTTTTGGGTCGATTTTTTCGGCTTTGATTATTAATTTTAGTTTTAAGAATCAGATTTTTGAGGGGAATTCGAATTCGAGTTATAATCGGGTTATGGATGAAATTTTTGATTTGGATGATTTTGAAGATCGATTATGTGGATCCACCGCTTGTCCGAGTCGATTTCAATTGGTTAATTCAAATTTTTCAGTCATTCCTGAAAACACTGCCACTGTTTTGATTATTTCTTACGCTTCGATTACTTTTTTGGGGGTCATTTTAATCGTTTTTTTGGATAAAATCAAAACGTTCATTTTACAAGACCCTTTAGAACGATCAGAAGGTTACGCAGCAATTCGAGCTGTTAAAGAGAGCTTCAAAGACTTTCGCCTCCAACTTTCAGCACCTCTAAGTCTATTTATTGGGCTAGAACAAAGCTTTATGTATTCCGATTTCAGCAAGGTAATCAAAAAATCAACAAATAAATCTTTTTTAACTCATTTTTTCCCATTTTCAGTCCTACGTGGTCTGCACCCTAGGAATTAACCGCCTAAATTGGGTTTTCCTCTGCATGGGGCTCTTACAATCAATAGCTGCATTCACTTTAAGCATGCTGATGAGGAGCGTTAAGCGATATTACTTAATCGGAGTTGGATTCACCTTCCATTGTTGCCTCCTCTTAGTCCAAATGCTTTGGAAACCCATCAACGACGACCCAGCTCTATTCTACGTCATTTCAGCAGCTTGGGGAGTCTGCAACGCCATCTGGGAGATGCTCAATTACAGTAAATACCTAATTTAAACCCCACCAAAACAAAATCTTAACCCAATCTCATTTTCAGCATTCCTAACTAGTTTGTACATAAACAATTTCGAAGCAGCCTTCGCAAATCAAACCTTTTTTAAATTCTTGGGATTATCCCTAGGATTTGGAGCTCATTGCCTCCTTTGTAATTGGATAAAAGTGTATCTTCTAGGCTTCGGATTGATTTTGGCGGCAATTCCGAACATTTGGTTGGAAATGAAATTGGAGGGGGCGAAAAGGTTGAGGAATATCAGCCGGTTATGACAGTTCATCGTGAAGCGGGATAAGTTTAGATGAATAATTTGAGATTTGTATAAAAGAAAATAATAAAAAAAAGTTTATTTACAACCTACAATTTCTGTAACCGCCTCCTCTTAAATAAATTCACGTCGGTTCCTCTTTCGTTTTGTTGCCGGGAATGTTTTGGACGATCATGTTGAGGCAGTCCAGGCTGGATGTTGAGTTTGCTTCGAAAGCTGCAACAAAAAATGCTATCATACCATACTATTCAGAGGGAAACTCTGCTTTAATAAAAAATTTTAATCTAGCAAAAATATTAAAAAATGTTTCAAATAAAAGTTGTTACTGATTTAATTCTAAACAAATATTATTTGAAACATTTTTTGATTCAACCCATAATTATTGAGATAACCTCAAAAATATCACTTTTTACACAAAGCATTTATAGCAATATACAGCGCCATCTAACAAAAATATTAAAAAAAATTTCAAACAAATATTGTTGCTGATTTATTTCTAAACTAATATTATTCGAAACATTTTTTGATTCAACCCATAATTATTAAAATAACCTCAAAGATATTACTTTCTACACAAAGTAGCACTTATAGCAGTATACAGCGCCATCTAACAAAAATATTAAAAAAAATTTCAAACAAAAATTGTTGCTGATTTAATTCTAAACAAATATTATTTGAAACATTTTTTGATTCAACCCATAATTATTGAGATAACCTCAAAAATATTACTTTCTACACAAAGTAGCACTTATAGCAGTATACAGCGCCATCTAACAAAAATGTTAAAAAATGTTTCAAATAAAAGTTGTTGCTGATTTAATTTTAAACAAATATTATTTGAAACATTTTTTGATTCAACCCATAATTATTGAAATAACCTCAAAAATATTACTTTCTACACAAAGTAGCACTTATAGCAGTATACAGCGCCATCTAACAAAAATGTTAAAAAATGTTTCAAATAAAAGTTGTTGCTGATTTAATTTTAAACAAATATTATTTGAAACATTTTTTGATTCAACCCATAATTATTGAGATAACCTCAAAAATATTATTTTCTACACAAAGTAGCACTTATAGCAGTATACAGCGCCATCTAACAAAAATATTAAAAAAAATTCAAATAAAAGTTGTTGCTGATTTAATTCTAAACAAAAATTATTTAAAACATTTTTTGATTCAACCCATAATTATTAAGATAACCTCCAAATTATTACTTTCTACACAAAGTAGCACTTATAGCAGTATACAGCGCCACCTAACAAAAATATTAAAAAAAATTTCAAACAAAAATTGTTGCTGATTTAATTCTAAACAAATATTATTTGAAACATTTTTTGATTCAACTCATAATTATTAAGATAACCTCAAAAATATTACTTTCTACACAAAGTAACATTTATAGCAGTATACAGCGCCATCTAACAAAAATATTAAAAAAAATTTCAAACAAAAATTGTTGCTGATTTAATTCTAAACAAATATTATTTTAAACATTTTTTGATTCAACTCATAATTATTGAGATAACCTCAAAAATATTGCTTTCTACACAAAGTAGCACTTATAGCAGTATACAGCGCCACCTAACAAAAATATTAAAAAAAATTTCAAACAAAAATTGTTGCTGATTTAATTCTATACAAATATTATTTGAAACATTTTTTGATTCAACTCATAATTATTGAGATAACCTCAAAAATATTACTTTCTACAAAAAGTAGCACTTATAGCAATATACAGCGCCATCTAACAAAAATATAAAAAAAAATTTCGAATAAAAGTTGTTGCTGATTTATTTCTAAACAAATATTATTTGAAACATTTTTTGATTCAACTCATAATTATTAAGATAACCTCAAAAATATTACTTTCTACACAAAGCATTTATAGCAATATACAGCGCCATCTAACAAAAATATTAAAAAATGTTTCAAACAAAAATTGTTGCTGATTTATTTCTAAACTAATATTATTGGAAACATTTTTTGATTCAACCCATAATTATTGAGATAACCTCAAAAATATTACTTTTTAAACAAAGTAGCACTTATAGCAGTATAGAGCCCTATCTAACAAAAATATTAAAAAAAATTTCAAACAAAAATTGTTGCTGATTTATTTCTAAACTAATATTATTCGAAACATTTTTTGATTCAACCCATAATTATTGAGATAACCTCAAAAATATTACTTTCTACACAAAGTAGCACTTATAGCAGTATACAGCGCCATCTAACAAAAATATTAAAAAATGTTTCAAACAAAAGTTGTTGCTGATTTAATTCCAAACAAATATTGTTTGAAACATTTTTTTATTCAACCCATAATTATTGAAATAACCTCAAAAATATTACTTTCTACACAAAGTAACATTTATAGCAGTATACAGCGCCATCTAACAACAATATTAAAAAATGTTTCAAATAAAAATTATTGCTGATTTAATTCTAAACAAACACTATTTAAAACATTTTTTGATTCAACTCATAATTATTGAGATAACCTCAAAAATATTACTTTCTACACAAAGTAGCACTTATAACAGTATACAGCGCCATCTAACAAAAATATTAAAAAATGTTTCAAATAAAAGTTATTGCTGATTTAATTCTAAACAAATATTATTTGAAACATTTTTTGATTCAACCAATAATTATTGAGATAACCTCAAATATATCACTTTTTATATCAGTATACAGCGAAATCTAATAAAAATATTAAAAAATGTTTGATACAAGAGTTGTTGCTAACTTAATTCTAAATAAATATTATTTGAAACATTTTTTGATTCAACCCATAATTATTGAGATAACCTCAAATATATCACTTTTTATATCAGTATACAGCGCCATCTAATAAAAATATTAAAAAATGTTTGATACAAGAGTTGTTGCTGATTTAATTCTAAATAAATATTATTTGAAACATTTTTTGATTCAACCCATAATTATTGAGATAACCTCAAATATATCACTTTTTATATCAGTATACAGCGCCATCTGACAAGAATATTAAAAAATGTTTCAAATAGAAATTGTTGCTCATTTAATTCTAAACAAATATTATTTGAAATATTTTTTGATTCAACCAATAATTATTGAGATAACCTCAAATATATCACTTTTTATATCGTTACACAGCGCCATTTAACAAAAATATTAAAAAATGTTTCAAACAAAAGTTGTTGCTAATTTAATTCTAAACAAATATTATTTGAAACATTTTTTGATTCAACCAATAATTATTGAGATAACCTCAAATATATCACTTTTTATATCAGTATACAGCGAAATCTAATAAAAATATTAAAAAATGTTTGATACAAGAGTTGTTGCTAACTTAATTCTAAATAAATATTATTTGAAACATTTTTTGATTCAACCCATAATTATTGAGATAACCTCAAATATATCACTTTTTATATCAGTATACAGCGAAATCTAATAAAAATATTAAAAAATGTTTGATACAAGAGTGTTGCTCATTTAATTCTAAACAAATATTATTTGAAATATTTTTTGATTCAACCAATAATTATTGAGATAACCTCAAATATATCACTTTTTATATCAGTATACAGTGCCATCTAACAAGAATATCAAAAAAAATTTCAAATAAACATTATTATAAATCAGTAATAATGTTTATTCTAAATAAATATTATTTGATACATTTTTGTATTTAACCAATAATTATTGAGATAACCTCAAATATATCATTTTTTATATCAGTATACAGCGCCATCTAATAAAAATATTAAAAAATGTTTCAAACAAAAATTGTTGCTGATTTAATTCTAAACAAAAATGATTTGAAACATTTTTTGATTCAACCCATAATTATTAAGATAACCTCAAAAATATTACTTTCTACACAAAGTAGGATTTACAGCAATATACAGCGCCATCTAACAAAAATATTAAAAAATGTTTGAAACAAAAGTTATTGCTGATTTAATTCTAAACAAATATTATTTGAAACATTTTTTGATTCAACCAATAATTATTGAAATAATCTCAATAGTATCACTTTTTATGTCAGCGTTTATCGCCATCTAGTGGTAGATTTCAAACGAGTATAAAAGGATCATATTAAAATTAAATCTAAATATAATTTGTAGCGACACGACCTGTAATTCCGTTCCTTTTTAAAAGTGATTTTCTTTGAAAGCAAACTAAAAGTCCCATATTCTCCTGAAAATCTAAAATTAAATCCGCGAATTTACAAAGTCGCTTATAAATAAAACCCCGCCTCGCGTGTATTTATGTGACCGAGTGCGTGAAACGTGGATAAATGCGAGACTTAACTCAGTTCCATCTCATTTAAAATGAACGCTAACCTCTGAACGTTATGTACCCCGACTTAGAAACAGAGAGCCTCATTTCCTCGGTTTTAAATAGCCAAAATACGCCTTAATCCAAGAATTTCACTCAAAATCACGTTTTAACCAACCCCCGAAACTTTTATTTCCTCTCTATTTTCGGATGTAAATATTTTGACAACCACTCGACGTCGTTAATTTAGTTATCTTTTATAAAAGTATTCAAAAACAAAATTGGATTGTTTCCAAAATAAAAAAAAAATTCTTCCAAAATAACTCCACCCCCCCATTTTAAAAGATTTTTCTTCTTATAAAAGCCGCCTTTCTTGTCCACGTGTAGTTGTTAAATGGAGGATGTAGCCCCCTTTTTTTTTAAAAACATTTCTCGATGTCTACACAAACAATCGTATATCAAGCGAAAAATTGGTCTCTTGGGTGCTAAATTTACACCTAAAACGACTTCCGGTCTCTTCTCCTCTTTAAAACCTCTCATCTTAACTCTCAAGTGGTTTTAAATACTACAAGAACCGACTATTAGCACTCGTTTCAACACCGAAAAAGAAGTCGTAAATCTTAAGAATTAAAATATTATTTTTTCTTACCGTTCGTCGTTGTGGTGGTTAATTTATAAAAATTCGCCTTCTGCTGGTGCATATTCGATTGATTATTGCCCTAAAAACAATAAAAATTAATTAAAACGAATTTTTTTAATTAAATTTGACATTGACAGTTCAACGTATTACTTTGAAGTTAGATACAAATAAAAATAATTGATTTGTTAATGTAAATTAATTCGAAATTTAATTTATTAATGTTAAAAATAAAGTTTAAAATTGTTTTTGTAATAACTCAATTTTATACGAAGCTAACTTCACTTTATTTCGATTATGTTTAATGTTATAAATGTTTCTTTTTTGATTTCAAGTCAATTTATTCGTTCTAATTTAATTTAATAATTAAAATTTATAATAAAAATAAAGAATTTTAATAAATATTTAAAAAAATGTCTTAAAACGTAACTAACTTCACATTGCTTTGAGTATTGAGTATAAATATAAAGAATTATATCGTTAGAGCACTAATTATAAAGAATGTTGTATATAATATATATGATATATACAGGGTGAGTTATAGTTACTAAACCGTTTGAAAAACAAAAAAATATTTTATACAAAAGTTGTTTGACTCGTCACTTTCTATTGCGTAGAATTATTTTCACGTATACAGGATGTTCCATTTAAGCGTAATGGTGAATATGTAAATTTATTGAAATAGAACATCCTGTATATTTTATCATATTACGAAAACAACTAAATTTGTTTATACAACCGTATTTGTTACTATTTCACTGTGTTCATAGTTCCTGAGATATTCAATTGTTCTTCCAAAATGTGCCCATTACAAGATCTTTTTAAAAACTATGTAAAATCGACATTTTTTCCAATTTTTCCTTCAAACTACGTCAGATAATAATCAATGCCAGTAGGTAGATGATAGTATTCAAAGATATTAGATTACACTATACAGGATGTTTATAAAGCTTAGTTACTTTTGATGTTTCCCAAATGGCTTTTACTTAAGTTTTTAAGTGGAACACCCTGTATATTAGGTGCTGGTTGAATTGTTCATCAAGTTCCCTTTAATTAATGATAAGTACGTCATATGTTTAACTTTAATAGTTTTTCTGATATTTAGAATTTAGAGAAGAATGTGTAATAAAATGTCATTATTGTACTTAATATTATATTCTGTCTATTTTTATCAGTTTTTTTTGTTCTTCCTTTTATTATTTGATTAATATTTTATAATGTAAAATAATTTTGCTGCCATATACCTGATTTTATTTTATTTATGAGATTTAAAAAAATGTAAGCTATAAAATATGCGATTGTTCTGCCATATAATTTACGACTTTAGAGAAAATAAGATGCATACGTTAAAAGATACTTTAAGATCTTTCATACAGCGCATTAATGCTTGCGAGCACACAATATACAGGGACACATTCCATTTAAAAAACTTATGAAAAAACCATTTGGAAAACATCAAAAATAACTAAGCTTTATAAACACCCTGTATAGCGTATCTAATATCTTTGGATACTATCATTTACCTACTGACTTTGACTATTATCTGATGTAGTTTCAAGGCAAAACTGAAAAAAATTTCGGTTTTACATCGTTTTTAAAAAGATCCTGCAATGGACACATTTTGGAAAAACATTTGCATATCTCAGGAACTATGAACGTTATGAGTTAATAACATATTCGGTTGTATAAACAAATTTAATGCTATTCATAATATGATAAAATATATAGGCTGTTCCATTAAAAAAAATCTACGTAATCTCCGTTACGGATAAATGGGACACCTGTATAAGTGAAAATAATTTTACGTAATAGAAAGTGTTGAGTCAAACAACTTTTGTATAAAACATTTCCTTCTTTCTCAAACAGTTTAGCAACTATCATCCGCCGGGATACTAATAACTGACCCTGTATACAGGGTGTCCCGTTAAGCGTACGGAGCGGCTGTATCTCTAGAACGGTAAGGCCAAGAGGTTTGGGAAAAAAATCCTTATAAGCAAAGTGACCAAGAGAAATAGCTGGAAATTATTTTGAAGTTCGTAATTCGACCGCTAGGGGGCGTAACTGCCATTGAAAAACATAAAGTTCCGTTATCAGTGTATAAAAT